AATGTGGAAGTTACAATGTTCATTGTAGACAGTAGTGGCCAGACCTTAAAGGTATGTTAATCATGGATATTTATCAGTAAAACAGTTCTGCATAACTTTTGGCATTATCGTTAATATGATTAATTTCTGATGGGCAATATTTTCTATCTTATTTTTCTTCACTACTGTGTAGTTTTCATTTTTGTTTAATTCATTAAAACTCTCAGGAAAAAATTAGAAAAGCAAAAGGCTTTTTGTTTACTTAATTGGGTCAACACTTTAATTATAACGGCTCTTCCTTAAATGCAGTATTTTTTGTGCCATTTTGTTTTTTCCCTTTCAGTGGTCATAGTTTGGAAGATGAATGCTTTTTCTTTGGCAATTGGTTAAGGAAAAAATATTATATACAATTCTATGTGTTTTCATTTTGACAGAAACAGGATATGAAGACTGGGGTATTTACTAACTAGGATGATAACAGTAGGTTCCTTAAGAAATGGAAAATCATTTGTTGATGATAACTCGTATGGTAATATCCTTGGTTGAACCAACATACAATGTATTCTGGATGGAAAATCTCATTTTGTATACTGTAAGGATATACAGTGAATGAATGTAAATAAATTTAAAATTTTAAAAATAAAACAAAAAACCAAGTGAGCCTCTTCATGATCACAACTGCTATTCAAGTACAAGGGCTGGCCTCAGAGTTTGTAACTCACCCACTGAGGCACAGAACAGGCTGGTGGCGTCACACACTGGGGATGTTGCCATCTGGTTGGATTTCAAAGGAGACATGCAGTTACCCATCTTACGTGTGTCACTGAGGTCAGCCCTTGGCATATAGGCCCTGGGAGAGCAGCAGCAGAATTAAATGCACACCCCAGTAGGCAGAAGCAAGTTTGGAGATGGCACTGCAGAGGACAAGGAGGTGATTTCACATAAAATGCTATTTGATGAGCAGGCAGAGCAAGCAAAGTGATTGCTTTGCTTCTTTCAAAAGAATCTTTCAGTGAGTCTTTCTTTATCCTCTATGTGTTTTTTTGTTAGGATTTTATCTCCTTTGGCTCTGGAGAGCCACCAGCTAGCGAGTACCATTCATTCGTGCTCTATCATAACAACAGTCCCAGGTGGTCCGAACTGCTGAAACTTCCTATTCCTGTGGATAAATTCAGGGGTGCACACATCCGCTTTGAGTTTCGGCATTGTTCCAGTAAGTGTCTGGAGGGTTGGTTACATGGCTTTGTCATTGGAGTGTCTGCTTATGGAGCTAAATTGAGGATGTGGGCTGATCTGCAGACTGTGTGACGTATGAGAGAAGTCCTGGAGGCAGAAGCAAAGGTAAGTGGGAATCCTGAGAGCTGAGTGGGCTCGCTCCTTATCAAAGAGCCAATAACCATTGTGGAAACAGAGGGAGGAAAAAGAGGGAAAAGAACAAATCTTTAGGAAATATAAAGGATTCTCCTGAAATTGATTGCTCTTATCAAATCAGTTCACTACTTACACATCCTAGAAAGATTAGGCAGAAAGAAGAGACACAACATTAAAAACTACATTGGGTCTGGGGGTCTCAGGCAGTCTCAGCCAGTAGGGTATCTTCCAGTCAGGAGCCCATCCACTCTTAGATCAGGGAAAACCACTAGGACTTTTCTGGGAATGTAAAGCCAAAAGGAACGTCTCTATTTTGCTCTGACTTCTACCTGGTTTGCATATGCCTGTATCCCTGTGCGGTCCCAAACAGTATTCAAATGAGAATCAACAATGTCAGCCAGAAAAGGCCTTTGGGATAATGTAAAGGAATTGGCTTCTGTTACAGATTTAAACAACCCAACCCATAGAAGCATTACAGCATTTGTCCGTATGGACCTCACTATCCATAAAGTTGTCATTTCTTGATGCCTCTATTTTAATTCTCCTGACCTCATTTCTAGCCTCAAGCCCCCACTCTCTACCCCCACCAACTCCCAGTCAAAGGATCTTCTGAGATTTCTTGTGCCCCAGAAGTCTGTCTTAGATGCAACCAGTAGTGTGCACTGTGGGCCAGAGGAAGTTCTGGTGACTCCCACTCTAGAGCAGTATAACAGGCTAGAACTACAGGAGAATCACATCATTGGAGAAGCAGTAGGCTGGGAGGAATGGGAACATTGCCGAGAGATGTGCAGTAACGTCAGCTGAGTGATGTTGTAACTCCCCGAAGTTCAGGTAGAGGAGGATTTTGTGTATTACCAGGACTATGACACATTGCAGAATCTGCTAAGCTTGCTCCATAAATTATGTTTTCATGGATGTCTTAAAACACAAGAAGATAGCTAGTAATGTCTGATCATTCTTTCCAGATTCCCAGAAGAGTTTCACATAAAGGATTTGAAGTAGGAAAATATAAAAAACAGAATGGTGCCATACTATTTCATCCACCAGTTTTTTAATAAATTCTCACATAGGTCTAATGTGAGCTTTGAACTTTTTTTTTAAAGAATTGTTTTTTTTTAACTTTATTTGTTTGTTTGTTTATTTTAATTTGACCGTAAAGGGACACAGAGAGAGAGAGAAAAAAAAAGGAAAAGAAAAAGGAAGCCGCCAGGTCCAGGACTCGAACTGCAGTTGGCCATGTGGGAGTCTAGTGACTTTAACCACCACTCTACCTGCTAGCCCTGTGAGCTCTGAGCTTTAACATAAGAAAAAACATAGAGGAAAATAAAGGTGAACAGCAAGAAAAGGGAGAAAGAACGTTTGATGAAAATTATTATAATTCAGATCTAGAAAGTAATATAGAGGCTATTTTCAGTAAAATTTGTTAGATCTCTGCCCTCTTGTCCTTGTTGTTCAAACATTGTTCACAGGTTTGTTGTTTTAATCTACTTTGTTAAAATTCAGAAGGAACTACAAAACTTATAGAAGAAGAAAAAAATTCCCCATAATCCAAGAACCTACTAGTAATCGTTTTATAACATGGCTTCAAAATATTTCCCTGTGTGTATATATACATATTGATAACATTTATTCCTAACACAGATACTTACTGAATATTCAACTGTATACCAAACACTTTCTTGGGTACTAGAAATGCATTAGTGAGCGCAACAAAATATCTTCTCGGAGATTTTATTCCAGAGAGGACAGACAATAAGTGAGTAAATCAATATATAATGTATTAGGTTGATAAATGCAGTGAAGAGAAATAAATTGGGATTACAGCCTAGAAAATTATGTTGCCGTATTGCTATCCTTCATACAGTGGTCCGGAAAGACCTCTCTGATAAGGAGATGTGTCTGCAACACCCTAAAAAAAGTAAAGGCCTGAGCCATTACGGTATGGGGAAGAAAGGAATTTCATGCAGAGAGAGTGGCAAGACCTGAGGTTGAAACATGCTTGATATTTTTAGGGAATAGAAAGAAGGCCATAGAGATAACAGGAGAACCAGATCCCATATTGTCTTTCATATCATGGTGAGGACTTTGGGGTTATTTGTGGTGACAAGAGAAGCCATTAGAACATTTGGGAGGAAGATAAATCTGGCTGCTCTGAGAAGGCAGGAGGCTTTTTCTATCTTCACGTATGAGTTTAAAGTGGTCTGCATTAGTATGGTAGTGGTTTGATTTTTTTTACAGATTAATTGACAAATTAATTTAGACATGAAAGAAGGGGAGATGTCAAAGATGACCCAAAGCTTTTAGCTTGTAAATAAATGTGAAGTGGTCATTTAATAAAGTGAGAAGACAATAGGGAAAATCCATTTGGGAAGCAAAAATCAGGCATTTTATTTTAGACATGTTAAATCTGAGATGTCTACAAGACATTGACGATGTCACCGATAACTGTATGAGCCCAGACTAGAGACTTAAACTTGGGAATAAGAACTGTAGTCGAGTGGTCTCATAAAAATGTACTAAACAGTGTTCTTGGAGGCAGGGACAGACTGATTTATAGTGTTTTCTGATTTTCAAGGGGTAGGTACTCCCACCATGCCAGTGTCAAGCTATCAGCATGTTGTCACCAAACATTGAG